CTCAAAAAAAAAAAAAAAAAAAATTCACTGTTGCCGAGCTTTGTTCTTAAGTCAAATTATAGTTCTGAGGCTGCAATGTAGTTAGGTAGGCATGGCTTAGGTCAGTGATTCTCAGCCTGTGGGTTGCGACCCACAGAAACCGTATTAAAGTCTTGTGGCATCAGGAAGGTTGAGAACCACTGGCTTAGGTGATCCCAAATATTCTCAGTAGCCCAGGTCATCTTTCAGGATCAGGTGGGGTCTGTTATTCTTGAGGATTGCATTCAGCAAGTGAACTACAAAAGGAGTTTAATTTTTCTCGTCTAATAAGAAGTCCAGACCTGAGTAGTCCAGGATTTTGCTGCTTTCCTGTACTGTCATTATTGGCGCGTGCCTTTTACTTCATAGTTATAATACTGCTGCTTCTGAATCTTTAGGCAAAAAGGGGCAGATTGAAAAGCAAAATATAAGAGGCTAGCTCCAGCTGGGTCTGACTCCCCTCCTTTTTGTTTATTTCTGAGGAAAATACTCTTTTTAGGGGCAGCACCTGTGGCTTGGTGAGTGGGGCACTGGCCCCGTATACCAAGAGTAGCAGGTTCAAAGCTGGTTCTGGCCAAACAACAACAACAACAAAAAAAAATAGCCTGGCGATGTGGTGGGTGCCTATAGTCCCAGCTACTCAGGAGGCTGAGGCATGAGAATCACCAAAGCCCAAGAGCTGGAGGTTGCTGTGGGCTGTGATGCCACGGCACTCAACCTAGGGTGACAGAGTGAGACTCTGTCTCAAAAAAAAATAAAAGACTCCTTTCAGAGGCCTTCTCAGAAGACTTCATATATCTCTGTGGCCAGAACTCTTATCATATGGTTACTCCTAGCTGTAGGTAAGCCTTGAAAATAAGGTTTTGTTAGCCGGTCACTTTGCCTTTCTGAACAAAATGGGGGCTCTTGTAATTAGAAATGGAGAATATACTTTGGTGGGCAGTTGGCTGTATCTGTTCCAGGATACTGCTTCAGGAAGCTCTATGTCCCCATTTTTGTTGATACTTATGTTAATTGGAAAGAATGGTATTTATTTATTATTATTATTATCTTTTTAAGAGACAGACTCTCACTTTATTGCCCTCTGTAGAGTGCTTTAGTGTCACAGCTCACAGCAACCTCCAACTCCTGGGCTTAGGTGATTCTCTTGCCTCAGCCTCCTGAGTAGCTGGGACTAAGGAATGGTATTTTCT